TCGATATTTTGTCTTATTTCATTTTTCCTGAAAAACACACATGGTACCTTATCACTGCCTCACTCCTTTGTAACTAAATAATTTGTTCATAGATTGCACATTTATAAACGTTGTAGTTTACACAAATTTACATTAATTGTAAATATATCAACCAGTAGTTAATATCAAAAGGTTAATAATTGCAACTTTCACATTATGAGTTTTTTTTTTCCTTGGCTTGAAAATAGAAAGTTGGGTTGCACAGCCAGGTTAACCTTCGCACATTCTGCGGATACGTTTCGACCCGAATTTATTTATTTTTTTCTTACCTCGATATGTTTTTAAATACCTAAATCATAATTGTATAATCCACTCTGCAGTGGTTCTATTATTTCCAGGGTTTATTATCGTGGGTTCATTTGAACCCGAGGGTAGTATTCGTATGAGGGAATTGAAGATTAATCACGGTAGAATTCATTCCCTGGAAAACAAATTCATGAGAAGTTTTCGGAAAGAATCGGTACGAAGCCGGTCCATTAGCCTCGTGATCTGGGAAAGACAACATCCGGCCGATCGGTGGACGCGCTTCCCCTCCTCGTCTCAACCCTTCCGCTGCTGGTCCCGCAGAAAAACGTTCTCATGGGCCACATTAGAGCCGCATTAACGTACTCGAGCCACTCGTGAAGTCGTGTCAATAAACGGAGCGAACGATGGTCCGGGATGACGGATATATGTGCACGTGGGAGGTGTAGGGTCGACGAGGAGGGCGGAAGACGAGAGCTGGCAACGGCCTTTAGGGTAAACACGAATCTCCGACGCGGGACAGTTTGCCAGTGGAGAAGATTCATCTCCTTTTTTATTAGCTCGATACACTCTCGAGACAGATCTCTTTATAAACTGACGTTCTTTCGTTCCTTCATCGGGAGGGTGTCGCGCCCATCTCTAATATAGTTATCGACTAACGTATCAACAAATCTAGCCAGATTAGTCTATTCCCGAGAGAAAAAAAACAACGTATTACGGGCCTTATTCTACATTGTACATAGTACATTATGTACAGTTCGATAATACCATAGATTTGATAATTTCCTTTGATTTGAATAAATTTGGTCACCAAGGTTAAGAACTGAAGAATCCAAGATGGCGGCCGGCGAAGACCTGGACGCTAGGCGGGCGGAAAGAGACGCGGCTTTTGTCCAGGTCTCGTGGGACGTGTTATCGGTGCGATTTGCATGCGGCCACATCTGGAACCCGCCGATAGAACGGGATCGGGATCGGGATCTGGAGAGGGAAGCAAATGAAAGAGAGGAAGAAGGAGAGAGATCGGATCTGGCTCCGGTCGTAACAGTCACATCGAGTGCGGAGCATCCGACCGGGCAAGAACGAGCGGGCTCGCCGCGGGTGTTCCTTCCGCACGTGTGGCCATGCGGAGGATCCGCAGCGGAAGGCCCGCCCGTTCGGAGGACGAGTCTCGAAGGCCCGCGAGGAATTTCGAGTTTCCTTGCGGACTTGGTTCGTCGAGCGCGTAGGCGTCGGCCCTCGCGAGGGGTGTCGGACACGCCATTTCCCATCACGGGGAGTAATTGACTACATAATGGATTCCGGCGACTGCGATACGTCAAACTTGACGGGTCCAAGGGGTAGCCACCCCTGGATCCCCTCCGATATTAAACCAAACCCCGGAGCGTCCAGCGTCCGTTTTCCCAACCCTCCGTGCCGGCTCTCGGAACATTCGCTGCCGTCCCGTGCACCGGCTTGCCCACTGTCATCAAACGCTGCCAAAAGGGTGACACCCGGCTCCTGGAATCCCGAATTAGCATGGGCTAATCCCCGGGGCCCTACCGGAGCGTGGCGAAAGAATTAAATCCTAAATGCACCCCATAGTATTCGTCACGCGACGGACCGATCCCGACCCGCCCACCTCTGGTTCTGTTCGAAGCGAAACCCCGGCTGAGTTTCACGCCAAATATACACCATCGGTCGAGGAATTAAATTCCCAACCCATCTCTCGCGACATCTGTCAAGACACGGGGGGTCGGTCGTTATTGCTTCCACGGTATAGGGGCTTTTTACCCCTTCGGCCCGGAAAGAAACACGGCTGTGTTTCGCGCCAAGTGCGCTCGTCGGAATAATTAATTCGTCGGGAAAAAAAAAAAAAAAATTCGTTTTCATTCCTGGAGTGCTCGTAAAGTCTCTCCCGTGCTCTCGATACTCGGCGGACGTTTCGGCGCGTGCATTAACGCAATTGCATTTGTCGCTGGACTCTGTCGATGGCGCGAAACGGCCGGCCAGAAACGCACCGTCGACAGGTGGCTTTCACGAGACAATCGCCACCGGCAGCTCGTTCTCGATGACGTCCGGATAAGCATCTCCCTGGTTCCCCTGGTCCCTCTGCTCGAGCTCTCTAACTATCTGCATTCTATGCGTTATTTATTACGGGAAGACTCGCCGGATAGTTGGCCGGGGTTTTATGGGGGTGTCTGAGTGATTTACTATTTTTTTTTTTTTCTTCATCGCAACCTCCACGTGATTGGCGGGTTTCTTCACCTCCAAGGGCCCTCTTCGTGGCGGCCCTCTTCGGGGCCCGCTCTTCAATGGGCCGAGACCCGGAGTTTACGTATCTTATGTACATCTTACGTACTCGAGATAACGATTCCTCGCATTTTTCCGTCTAATCGACGTCTAATCTGGGAGATTCTTCATTTTGACAGCCTTCGCGTTGCCGGTCGTAATTACTAGGCCTGGGAATAAGGGGAGAACGGAATGGGCGGCATGGAAACGTTTATCACGGGATTCCACCCCAACGCTATAACGCACTTGACATTTCTAATCATTTTCCCCCGGCTATCTGCGAAAGTGATAAAGTATACACTCGTTGGTATTTTAATCAAATGTCTCGCACTTGCCACATCCTGGAGACGATAAACGAAGGGAAAGGGATTTAATGATCCGTTGATTATTGATAATGTCGCGAATCTACCACCGAGCCTTATTTTACTTTAAATCGTTATCGTCTGGAGGGGCGCGTGATTCGGAGCAAATTTAGGGAGGTTTTTCGGACGATATTCCAGGCCGAATCCGAGTTAGCAGTGGAAGCCGTGAAAAGTAGCTTAAACGGGGCACCGTCAGACGTTGGCCTTCCCCGGGGAGAAGGGGCCCTCCCCGAGGAAGACACCCTCCGAAGAGTCGCACCCCAAAGTCGCAGAGGGTGGACCCAATATATATTAAGATCTGCAAACCCTCGCCAGACCGAAAGTTCGTCCACCCCTTATATAGCCTTTCCCAGGTCTTCCCTACCCCTCGGTGCCGCCGCCCGATGGAAACACCGTCGGAATTGCGATTATGGCGGCGATATTACGGCCGCGTTTCATCCCTCCGTAAGAACGGGGAATACGTGAGGGTGGACGAAGGCGAAGCTCCGGGCTTATTGGCTTTATTTCTAACGGCGGTTCATAACTATTATTGCTGCCCCGGAGGAGATAGAAAGTATTCCCTGGAAAAACAACCCTCGTGGGCGACGCGTCGCAAAAAATCCACCCCAAAGTACATTTTTCCCTGAATGGCCGCGCGGAAATGCCAACCTTTTCGCGACCGTACAAATTAATGGGCTTTACGCCGTTACTTCACCCCAAGTTGGAGGGAATACCAGGGGGTGGATTTTTATATATTTCATTCTTATTAGAAGTACATTTTATAGCGAGCTAGAGGAAGAAGTCACTTAACGTGCGGCCACGGAATCGCTCGATATCAAATGACTCGAAGTGCTCCCTTCATACGGAGAATCAAATCCACTGGTCCAGATCGGATGATTTAATCCTCCGATTTATCAAAATCTCGAGCAGACAGCACTATTTAGATATGGCTAATCGAACGTTCCTGCCTCGCGGTTGAGTGCCTAGGACTCTTGCCAAGACACTTCCTCCTTTTCCGGGAAATCTTTACAGAACTTTGGACAGTTTTTCCTACTTTATTCGTCCTTCGCCCGAATGCGGGATAAAGGGGGATCCTCGAAGAAAAAATAAAAATCGCCAGAGGGTCGATATCGCTCCTGGCGATGACCCTTATTGTTCATAACTGTTAATGCGTTAACACCGGCAAAATATTGCTTCGTCCATTTTTGTGGCCCATCCCGAGTTGATGCTGGTTTATACGACGCCAGTATTACGACCTGTAAATACCGTTTTGCCGCGAGATTAAAAGAGTCAATTATCTCGGGCATGATAAGACGGTCCCGCAATATCGCTGCAAAATGGGGAAAATTCACGGCGTTTCCAGGTGAACGCTGAAACGCGTTTCAGATCGGGTCTCGCGGGGGTGTTAAAAAAGTTGCGATAAAAAATAATAAAGGACCGCCAAGAAAATCGACAATGAGCCCGGCGAGGTGAGGAGCTCTCGTAAAGGGAGGAAAACGAAAGGAAAAAGGAAGGATAGGGAAAAACTTGACGGCCCTAATGAAATTTCCCATAATAAAGTTACGGCAGTATTTCATCATCCTCCCCGGCAGCGACGAGGCGTTGAAATAAACCGCGCTTTATCGTCATCCCTAATAACCCGAGCCAGTAACACGGGGATTTATTGCGGTCGCGGTTGTCGGAAATGCGTCCCGGAGAGGCAGAAAGAGATTCGCCGAAGAAAATGAGCCCGCAGAAATTCGAGTTAATCACCGCGCAAATTATTTTCGCGAGCCTTCCCGGTTTCAGCCGCGCGCCATCATGGCGGCGACTCGCGGCATTCTCCATTATAGGGCTGATTCCTTCGCCTAATGTGCAGAATTTTAAGCATAAGATATCTCGTCCCTGGTCTTCCTCGAGCGTTAAGAAAAAAAAAAAATGAAAGAGGTATCGGCCCCGGAAAGAAGAAAAATACATAATTCAACTTAACAAACAAACGCGAGGGGAAATAATTTTAACGACGGATCCGGTGCCCGCGTTGCGTCTAACTATTAACCCTGAAGCCTGTCGACACTTTGAGAAGTTGTTTTCGAGGCACGGCTAAGAGTGGGCTCGTTTGTTCCGTTCCAGTGGGTGGAGGAATCGTTCACCGACTTCGACAAGGGCATTAACTGGAGGAGTTACGTGGTCTGCGACGTCGCCTACAGCAACGTCAACAATTGGCTGTGGACGCCGTTCATCGAGCGGGGCCCGGCCAACCGCATGTACATCGAGATGAAGTTCACCATCCGGGACTGCTCCCTCTTCCCGGGAAGTGCCCTCAGCTGCAAGGAGACCTTCAGTCTCCTCTATTACGAATTCGACGCGGCTACCAAGGAGCCTCCGCCGTGGGAGCCGGAGAGCTACAAGCTGATCGGTAAGTGACCTCGTCAGAGCAATCGGCATCTTCCCTTCCAACCTCCCTAGCGAGTCTTCGCGTTCCTAGGAAGTAAAAACCGACCAGAAAACTCGCTCGACCTTGCTACTCCACTTCCACGTATCGCATAACGAGCCAACGATAAGATCCAACGTTTAAAGGACGATCTCTGCTTCTCAGGTCGCATCGCAGCGGGCGAGGGCAGGTTCAACACGAACACGGAGGTGATCATCAACACGGAAGTCAAGTCCATCCCCGTGACCAAGAAGGGGGTGTACTTTGCCTTTCGGGACCAAGGAGCGTGCATCTCGATCCTAGCCATCAAGGTATACTACATAAGCTGCCCCGAAGTGTCGGTCAACTTCGCCCACTTCCCGGCCACCCCTACCGGGCGGGAAGTCGCCCTGATCGAGCAGACCGTGGGCACCTGCGTGGCGAACGCCGTGAAGATCAACCAGCCGACCTTCCTCTGCAAGGGCGACGGCAAGTGGTACCTCCCGTCCGGGGGCTGCCACTGCAAACCCGGCTACGAGGCGGATATCGACAAGCAACAGTGCAATAAGTGCCCCATGGGGAAGTTCAAGCACGAAGCCGGCTCCCAGACCTGCGACGCTTGTCCCGTCCACAGCACCGCACCCGATTACGGGTTCACCGAATGCAAGTGCGACGTGGGATACTTCAGGGCTGAAAAGGACTCCAAGAAGATGCCTTGCACCCGTAAGTTCCTGGTCTTAGGTCGAGATAAGTCGGGATTAGGAGGAGGAGGACTTACCACTCGATCTATGCAATTCCTTGCAGAGCCACCTTCGGCCCCGCAGAACCTGACAGTCAATTTCGTTGACCAATCCACGGTTATCTTGTCCTGGAACGCTCCGCACCAACTCGGGGGCAGGACGGACACGACCTACAGGGTCGTCTGCGATGCCTGCAGCCTCGGAGTCAAGTACATCCCCAACACTGTAAGCGATAGGACAGTAATTAGCATTAGAATGTAGGCGGCCTCTCATGACCAGACAATGACCCGAATCGCTGAGTGCAATCTCGGTTGAGTCATTACCGGACGCTTTAATCGGTATCAGTGGCGTTCCATCACCTTCCGAATTAGACTGACTCATCCGGATAAGTGATCGAACAACGGCTGGTGCCTTGATAATTGATAGATTAACCCTGGACAATGGAAAGTGTCCGATAACTGGATCGACCGAATCAACTTTCAGGAGATCTTTGACGACACGAAGATCACGATAACCGGGCTCAACGCTGTGACGACCTATCGGTTCCAAGTTTTCGCCGAAAATGGAGTCTCCGCCTTGGCTGGGAGGTCCGAATACGTCGATATTACTGTGACCACCGAAGCCAGCGTACCCAGCCTGGTCAGCAATGTCCGGATCACTAGTGTTAAGAGTTCGGAGCTCAGCATCAGCTGGGATGCACCCGTGACCGATGTAGGGGGCGACAGCGACCTCGTTGAAAGATACGAAGGTTGGTTCCCCTCTTCTTCTGATTAATCCTTTCGATACGACCATGCTTCTCGCGAATACAACGATAACGTATGGACCGGTTACAACAAAAGTTCACCCTAGTCAAAAAGTTAAACGGTCCAAAAAAGCAGTCAAAAATTCGACTAAAGTTAGGAATCAATGCAAAATGGGCACCCTAGGATACGGTGTCCAACGATGAGTGACCATAGTCCCCCGTAGTATCGAAAGGATTGAAAATGATGATTTTCGTAATTAGTGATCCCAACCTAAATTGTGTATGTTTCTTTCTCTCTTCAGTCCGGTGTTATCCAAGATTCGAGGACGCCACCAATGCAACTGTGATACAAACTTCGGATCTCTCTGCGACCTTCAAAGGGCTCAAACCGTCGACGGATTATGCCATCCAAGTCAGGGCCAAGACCACCAGGGGTTGGGGTGAATACACCCCCGTTGTCTTCAAGAAGACACCCCACGCGATGGGACTAGGTGAGCTTTGAACGCTGGAGGACGCATATTTTATCATATAAAGAAGTCTTCTCAACGCGTCCCTCTCTTTTTACAGACTACGTGGGCGATGACGATAACATGCAGGTCAGGATCATTGCCGGGGCAATAGTTGCCGTCGTCGTCTTGTTGGTGATCATCATCATAATGACCGTCCTCTTCCTGAGAAGGTAATCGAGCGCCTACGCCAACATAATTATCGCAATGCTTTCTTCGATTGCAAACCTCTAGCTATATAAACGAAACGATATACTTCCGGTAAATCGGTAGCATAAACAAATTATTCGATCGATTAAGTGGCCTTCTTAGAAGTCCTTTCTTCTATTGAAGAAGAAATAGGAACGTTAAAATATTGTTAGTCGGCCCTGTAAGAAATTGATATCTGTGTATCTAATCTTGTTTCGATTGATATAATGCGATTTTAATGATTCAGCAGAGCCTCGGATGAGTGCAACAAGAAGCAGCCCAGTGACTGCGACACCTTGGAGTACAGGAATGGTGAAGGTACGTTAACACTTGTCGACGAGTCGGCGCTACTTCTCTTAGAAAGTTATTATCATTACCCCCCATCACTATCATAGTTGTCTCACTGCGCCCTCGTGTCTTGTGACTAAAATTTGGATCACCAGCAACAACCCCGACCCTGACCCCAGCAAGTATTGAACCCCCCCCGAGAGGACTGTTTTCGTAGTCAGACCTTAATTAGAGATATGCGAGCGTTTTCCCTGAAAGATAAAAAGAAACAAGTAGAACCATCACGGAAAGAGATTGATCGACACTTAGTAAAGCATTAAAGCCCTCGGAAGAAATGGTGCAAGATAGCGTTGTACCGCATTTTTGTGGGACGATGACGTTCAGAAAAAAAGAAAAAAAGAAAAATTAATTTTTCAAGAAACAAATTCGTGATCGTTCAAAATTTTCATTATTGCTCGTTATTTTCGAAAACTGCGTTACAAGGAATATACCGGTATTATTATTTAATGATGTTGAGGAAGATGTTGATAAAAATGGGGCATAGCGACGCGTTCGTCCATTCATATTTAAAATAAGGGGAACGCAGAGACACCGATACCGATCGCTTTCACCAAAATTCACCAATTTGGCCTGCCGCAGCTGCGTCATTGTCTAACCAAATTCTTTCGATTCTTTCTTTTCATGTGCGATCCCCCTAATCTATCGAACCTGCCTCCATGAAACAAACAAACCCAATGAAAAATCCATGAAACAATGTACACAATCGCCTGCTACTACAGGACTAGTTGTGACCTACAGTAAGTCTTCTCCAAACACCTCTAATGTTTTCTCTCTCTCTCTTCTATTTCTGGTATCATAGATCTCTCGAGCTTCGCGTAGCTTGCTTGTGCATCCCATAGTTGAAATGACTGTTCCTAAAGACTTCCAGTGCGAAGACATCGGTACGATCCTTTGTACCCACGATTACAGTTGCCGGGGAAGTTCGAAGCGTGTATCGCTGTCTTCGCATCGCATGTCAATTGTTGCTTGAAGTCTGTTAGATTAAGTGGTATGCATGATTAGTTTAGTCATCGTTTCGACGTGTTTCCATGTATACGAGCCTGCGTCGTCACATTGTTCATATTCGTTCAGCGCGCATTTTTCACATCTCTCTCGTTCCACCGGACGAAGAAGGAGAAGGAGAAGGAATGTCCTTCCGATCGGACCTTACGGAAAAAGACGAGGGGTTATTCACTTAAGATATGGATTTTAATGCTCGAAATAACGTGGAAATCAGCTGGATATCGCAAGCAGAAATCTGGAAGTCGCCGAAGCATTGTCACGATTTTAAGGCCGAACGTCACTTGGTACTGAATCACGTTCTTGTCTATCATGCGAAATCAAAGGCAACCGGTTCTCAAAGAAGGAAATCGTTTTCACTGATTTACGAGTGAATATCCCCTCGAAAAAAGGGGGATTTACGTCCTCCAGGGAAACGATGAGTCCCTTTTGGTTCATCACTTCGGCACGAAACGGAATCAGCCTTGGCCGATCCATGAGTGGAATTCCGTGAAATCTTCGGCGAACAAAGTCGAGCGGAATTCCTTGGGTGGTTGGAAAGTGCTCGTTCCGTTCCGTTCTGATTACGCTCCATGGGAGTGCAGCTCGAAGACAAAGTTGGACCGAAGTCGCTGTCAGTTAGCAGCAGCTTTTCGCAGGGAAATTGCTTACCTCGCTCCCGTTTACACGGACTCCTCCATAATTCAAGGGAGTACCTAATTAACGTCTCATAAAGAATTCCTTTTTCCGTAAGGGAGGTCCCGGCGAGTTTAGCGGTGATTTTCGTTCTCCATCCCCTTTGCAAGGGCCTTCTTTGGACCGGGAACGCGGTGGATTTCTCGAGTCTTGGCTGGACATACAAACATGTACATTGTCGTTGGATTCGTCCCTTTCGTTGTTCATCCCGAGGACCGTCATGGGACGCTCGAATTTAATGGAGCCCCACACTTCGGCGTGGTTGCCTCTCGCTTGTTCTCTTAATTAAAATCATGTCTCATTTGTTTGCTTGACCTCTTTTGTTGCTGTTTGTCAATCAGTTTGTTGGTTGTTGTGTTGTTCACAGTGCACTGCAAAATGGACAGTTCACCGATTGTGACAACCCACACCAACAACAAGAGCAAGTCCTCGCGTAAGTCCTTTCTTAGCCTCTTGTCAAAATTTGCGACTGGGTCCCTTAATTCCGTTAACGTTAACTAAGAACGGTACGACGAATTGGATGCGAAAGAGGGAGAGGATCCTGACTAGACGAAGTCAACTTTTGCCAAGCTACTGTCGAGGTGTTCCTTATTTTCCATGTTTTTTTTCTTTTTTTTTTATTTCATTATTCCTCATTTCGTTCGCCTGAACTTGTATGACGCTCGCTTCCCTTTTCGAGAATTCTGGATGTTAGTAGTGAAGCATGCATTCCCGTATACATTTACGTGTGTATGTGTATGTGCACATATATGTACACGCGCGTTATTATGGTTGCACTCTGTGTGTGTAATTTGCATCGTACTTGCATCACTGTATGACGACCAGGGTCGCCAGAAATCGGCTCGCCGATGTCTGCCTGTTAATATTTAGTTAGTGTGACCATCACCGATTTTATTCCCTCGGACTTTGTTCTCGAGGAATATTGTTCTTGTTAATCGAGTGCTATGAGTATATTTTGACGGTATCAAATGGTCCACGGTAATCGCGCCGCCTGCCGCCACTCTGTGGTGTGAGCTTTAAGAACTGTCAAAGCTGGACAATGCACGGGATGCATTGACCAATTTTTTTTCCTTGAATTAACAACATTTAACGTCTACTCATCTAATGATTTTCATCGAGCCGCAAACCAAGTGCAATTTTAGCATGCTATTCTCGCAGCTAAGTACACCCCCGGGTATAAAAGGGGGCAAACATGTCCGGCGTGGAAAGAATTCACTCTTAAAAGGCAACTGACACGAATCTGGTCGACAGACTTTCGAAAGTATCTTTGAAATTCCAGGGGAAGAAAATTACGAACTCGAGAATATGCGAGAGAACAATTGGCCGTTAATTGTATTGAAATTGTAAAGAGACGTGGATGATGTGAATGGCGCGCGATTTCGGGATTCCGTCAAAATTCTTATGCACCGACCCGAGTGTTAATATAATGACTCTGTTTTGGTGACGTTACAGTGACGACGCCCCTCTTCACACCTGCAGTGGGGGTAGCTGCAGCCGGGGCTGCAGGTACGGGAGGTGCAGGTGCAAGAAGCTACGTGGACCCGCACACCTACGAAGACCCCAACCAGGCGGTGCGAGAATTCGCCCGAGAAATCGACGCTGGATACATTACGATAGAATCTATCATTGGTGGGTATCGACGTTGATTATTCTAAATTCACGATTACGATACTTATTAACACCTATCGTTACTAGGGAGATCGATCGCAAGCCAGGACAAATAGAACCTGCCCAGGGTGTCCCAGAAAAATGTGTACGCTGTCCCTACCTACCCCTCTGAATTTTCACTCTTCTTTGAGGTGAAACCAGATAAAAAAGAATGAAGAGAAAATAACAATTTAAAATGAAAGAAAAAATTACCATTAGCAGTCTGTTGATAAAATACCAAATTTGTAATAATTCAAAGCGTGTATACACTTTTTTGGGATACCCGGTACAGGTAGCCAACTTTTATACTATCTATATTTTTCTTATAGTTAGACCTTTTGGGATTCGTACAAGGGTCAAGGCGAGAAATATTAAGGGAAAATATGCTTCTCAGGTGGCGGGGAATTCGGAGACGTGTGTAGAGGTAAACTGAAGCTTCCTCCTGACGGGAGGTCGGAGATCGACGTGGCGATCAAGACCCTGAAGCCAGGATCGGCGGACAAGGCCCGCAACGACTTTCTGACGGAGGCCTCGATAATGGGCCAGTTCGAGCACCCCAATGTGATACTCCTGCAGGGCGTCGTCACCAAGAGCAACCCCGTGATGATCATCACCGAGTACATGGAGAACGGAAGCCTGGACACCTTCCTTCGGGCAAACGACGGCAAGTTCCAGGTACTCCAACTGGTCGGGATGCTGCGGGGCATCGCCAGCGGGATGCAGTACCTCGCCGAGATGAACTACGTCCACCGGGACCTGGCGGCAAGGAACGTCCTGGTGAACGAGGCTCTCGTCTGCAAGATCGCCGACTTCGGGCTTAGCCGGGAAATCGAGAGCGCCACGGAGGGAGCCTACACCACCAGGGTAAGTCGCCAGGTAACTTTCCTACAAACATTTGTTGTTACGGTAGCTCCCCTAGAACTCTTAAATCGCTTGCACACAGGGAGAAATATATTTGGTCGAGTCGATACAATTTTTGTTGGTTCAACCAAAGTAATCTAGTACATTTCACCGAAATATTTGATTTATTCACTAAAGCATTTTTTAAAATTAACAAAACAATTCACCCGAAACATTTGCTTGATCGAAACAAACGAGTTTGGTCAAATGAACTAATATTCGGTTCACTCAATGAAGACGTTTTCTGAGGTGCACCATGTCAAACAAAGGATCTTGCTCGATGAACCGACTTTTTTCTGGCAAAGCAGGCATGGTAAGAATGTAAATAATTGAGAGCTACATTGTTACCGGAAAAAAAGCCAGTAGCGGCGCCTGTTTTGCCGGTGCGTGTGCAAGTGATCTTAGTAGCGGTAGGACGAAACCCGAATTAGAAAGAACCCAATTAGCTCACGGTAGAAAAGGAAACAAAGTTTGCGTCTCGAGATGGGCACGCGTCTGGCGCGTATGAACTTCTCCCGAGACGTTGCTCCAGCTCTATAAGGAAAGGGTGGAGACTCAGGAATCCTGAAATTTGCAGGGTGGCAAGATCCCGGTACGATGGACCGCACCGGAGGCCATAGCTTTCCGCAAGTTCACCAGCGCCTCCGACGTCTGGAGCATGGGCATCGTCTGCTGGGAGGTGATGTCCTACGGCGAGCGACCCTACTGGAACTGGTCCAACCAAGATGTGATAAAATCGATCGAGAAGGGCTACAGGCTCCCGGCGCCGATGGACTGTCCCGAGGCGATCTACCAGCTGATGCTGGACTGCTGGCAAAAGGAGCGCACCCACCGACCCACGTTTGCCAACCTCACCCAGACTCTGGACAAGCTCATCCGGAGTCCGGACACCTTGAGGAAGATCGCGCAGAACAGGTAAAGGATGCCCTTTCTTTTGGCTAGTCGATAAGCGCGCGTTCGACCCTACCGACCGGTGCTAGGGATTTTCGGGAGCTTCGAGAAAGAGAGAGAGTGAAAGAAAGAGGCGTGCCGAAAACTGGACAAACTCCTGGTGGATTTCTGCGAACTAACGATATCGGTACGAGCCTTGGTGCCGCATTGCCTGCCGTACGCACGATTCGGTGGAACTTCCGACCTTCTTATCGGCTCATTGCCTATATTCTATATAACGTCGCTGTATAAGTACGGCAACAAAAAGTTACGGTGATGCGTTCAAGTCCACAACGACGCATTATCGTGTAAGCGATCGATCGATAATGCAAAGGTGGTTTAGTATCGATAAGAGTATCTTTATCGTAATCATAATCGGAAGAAGCCACCCTTTCGCACGTACGAGCCGTTCGTTCATCATCTCTTAACACGAATCATGTCGCATGCCACGCGAGTTACACGTCCGTGTCCATAAATTAATTTTTCTCGATATCAGCGATATCTTTTCGTTTCTCGCCAAACACCGAAAGCTCACACGCTCTGTGCTCTGATCATTTGCGCTGCCGTATTGGGCTTCGATGTTGTGCTCACTCGTACATATGGCTTCGCATACATGTGCACACACACGATCCGATGTGTGTGTCGAAATAGAGACACGTATATCTACATATACAGAGAGATGTATATCTAATTATATGCATACATGCGCACACCGTGTCACCAAATCTGGGTGCAACCGAGAGTCGTGTATGTGCTCTCAAAGTGTCCGTCAAAGACAACCTGATTGGCATTACTGGAAACGGGCAAACTGGACTTTTTTCACATATTTTTTTATTTCGAGTTGCAACGACCTTTCGTTAATTTCCTTTTGATTTCCTGCCGAAGGAGGCTGGGGAGGGCTGCTCGTCAAAATTATTTTTCTTTTCTGATAGCGTGCCACCCTCGACCGCCTCTGCGTTGTCTCCGTGAGCGAACGAAGAACGGAATCAGCGGTGACTCCAGATTAACGCTAAAACACGAAATTCCAGCTGTTTATTCTTTGTTAAAACATATTCCCTGAGAAAATATCGAGAAAGGTTTGGAAATAACTGAACGGCACTTTGTTTATTCATTTTGTTCTGCCTTGAGAAAGGTTTCGCGTAGAAAGGAGCGCCACTGAGTCCGCTCGCGAACGGGTCGCGCGAGCTGGGAGGAAAATTAATTTATGGACGGAAGTCTACGTGAATTTTGAGTTACGTTCTTTATCCTTCTTTATCCGCGAGTCGCGACGGCTGTACCGTAGGCAACGCGCCGTAAATACGAGGCTTTTAGCGAGCTTTTATCGCTTCTGGCGCTTATTGTTTCTACAATCCTCGAAACCCATCCGGGATTCCCTCGGGATCTGAATTTCCACATGCTTGCCCCGGGATATCCCGAAACCCCCCCGAAACGACGCTTTAGGGGAAGCGAACGGTTTTACGTTGTTAATCACCTTTCCCGTTATTAAACCTTGCAAATGTAACGACCGTAATATTCGGCAACTGCAACCGCGGTGCTACTTTACGAATGTCATTATCCTTCCACGCTAATGATTCTACGACGAGCATCGTTTCGCATAAACATCATTAATTTAAGATATTCCCATTAAATCCAGGCCGATTCTACGGCCGGTCTGTAAATGTCACCGAACGTGAGAGAGTGACGTCGTATCACTTTGTGAGATTAAATCACTCTGCGAAGAAGAAAGAAAAAGAAAAATCGTTCCCCCTGCAGCGTCATCCCGATCCCGAAGCGACCTCTCCCGACTTTTGTTTCTCCCCCCACCCTCTTTTTTTCTGGGCTAATTCTTTGTGGTTCTGGTTTTGTGGTGTCTTTGGTACCCGACTACAACTACGAACTACCACCACCAACTACCTACAACAACAACCACGACAGCGTGAGGCCGCCACCACACAATCCGTACTATGTCAGAAGCCACACCGCGGCTGCTCAGGCGGCGGCGGCGGCGGCGGCGGCAGCGGCGGCGGCGGCGGCCGTTCCAGGCTCGGGCCCAGGCCCGTTCGTAGACGTAGTGGGCCATCAGGCCCATCCGGCCCATCAGGCCCATCAGGCACAGTCAGCGATTGCCGTTCCAGTAATGCCAGCAGGAGCCGGCCGTACCCTACACTATCACACACACGCGGCCACACACGCCCTGCCTCATCAGCCACCGCTCACCTATCCCAACTGGGTCCCATTCACGCACTTCGGCTGAACCGCCCGGGCCCCTTAAATTGTTCGCTCTCGTTTCTTTCGTTTGTTTTTTTTCTTTTTTTTTTATTTTTAACTCTTTCTTCTCTAGCTTTCCCTTCGTTAGCTGCTGTGGACGTTCCGTTCTTGTGTTTGTCTTTGACAACCGGCGTTAGCTCGGTTTGGGTAACGCGAACCTAGAGGACAAGACTGAAACGTTGGGGCCCGATTTGGGCATTGTTCGGTGGCGTTAAGTTGCGGTAGGTTGTGGGGTTAGAGGGAGGTGTTAGAGGAGCTTGGTCGTAGGTGCTTTTCGTTTGAGATTAGGCCAGGCTGAGTGGTTCTTTTTGTGCTTCGAGCTTTGGGCTAGATTCGGTGCTGTTTTAGGGGAACGTGCACGACTTCGGATGGAAGTCGACGGTGGGCCCGTTTTTGCACTTGATGAACCACTCGCGCTGCTGGGACTTTTAATGTTGTATTTTCTTTTTATTTCTTCTTTTTATTGGCTCTTGCTAAGTAGGGCGAACTTTTCATTGATTCGTTTCTTTTCGACTCCTGAATGTAGTTTAGGATACCCCTTTGAGTAACGCGCATCCGGAGGAAAAGACTGAAGAGTAGCGCGCATATTCCTCCGTAGGGCCCAATATTGTTGGGCCCTCTTTGGTGCCGTTAAGTCGCGCTTGAATCGAGCTCGAATGAGGTGATTGAGAGGCGAGGAGGGAAAGATAACGAGTTTTTAACATTGGGCCCACTGACGCATTTCGGCGGAACCGCCCTAGTAGCTATCCGGAAAACTGTCCTTTGCTTTTCGTCGGTCATTTTCGTCTCCCATTTTTGGAAGACTTGTTTAAGCCGTACAAATTTTGTTCGACCGCATTTTGCATTGGATTAATTATTCGAGGAAATTATTGAATGTTTCAAGTTAATTTCCTTGGGCGAGGAAGCCGGAATGAGCAGCTCCTTTCCACTTCGGAACGTTTGATAATCGCCAGGGGTTTTCGACCTCGAAGACAATATTGAGAAACGTCAGGACAGTCAGGATAGCCCGAGAGAAAAATCGCTGTACATACGCAGCTCCCCTTTCCACATTATAGAAAGAAATTCACGCAGACTGCCTCGGTCAAAAATCAGACACACACCGAGGGTAAATATCCGAGATGAATATTAGTCGAGCTAGGACTCGAATAGTCGAAATGGAAAACGTAGCTGCAGTAGCATAGTATAATTAAGAGAAATTTAGGAGACTTTTTAGACGAATTATTAACGGACGAGTCCAACCAATGAATAGCTATTATTAAGATGCCCGGATATCTTAGGAGAATCCAACATCTCGCAGTTCTTGCAGCACGCAAAGTCTTCGAACCGATCCGGGATAAGTTGCGATAACGTAATCATTATCGTAACCACATTTCCGAAGCGTGACAAGGGTTACATTGAGAAACGCACCGCAAAGGAAATAATTCCTAAATTAATTACCTACACATTGAATCTGCATAATATATAAAGGTTTTCTGTTCGAGATCGTAAGTTTAATTTTACTACTATGAATGTATTACGGTATAGTGGCTGATCCTTAAACCACCACTTCCCATTTTTGTAGAAAATACTTAAAGTCAGAAAAATATTTAGGTACGCTAAATTGGAATAGACTCTTTAATACGACGTTCTAATCACGCGTACCGAGACAATTGCGTGCTGCACGAGGGATGTAGTCTTTCAGATATGTCTGATTCTAGTATTAACGCGGCATACGTATACGTACATATATTTAATATAATATTTATTGACGAGAGAAAGAGAGGGAGAGACAGGAAGCGAGCAAGAAAGAGAGAGAGAAAGAGCTGGAAATTTAACTTAAAGACTTCTATATCTTATCCATGACGAACGCGAAAGCTCTCGCGATGTTAGAATAGTATTTTTGTACTTTGGTGATACACGAGAAAGAGTATCGAGGCGCTGACAATCGTGCCAATTAGTTATCAATTTTATCGCGTTGATGCGCCACGGTATACATAAAATATAAATATAAATATAAATAGGTACAACGCGTATACATATTATATATATATATGTATAAATAAATTTAGGGACGAATCGAGTAAACAGAGTGAGAATAATCGACCGATCGACAGAGGCTACGATGTCGAGATGCACCAGCTTAGGTAAATGTTTGCCGAAATTTTCCGCAACACAGTTAATCGCCTGTACATTTAGATCACCTACTGTCGACCATGGCGACGATTCGCTAATTATATTTTCCTACGTATGGGCACTATTTGTACTAACAGATATACCACATCGAGCTGGTTTCTATTTTTTATTTATTTTTTTACTGTGGCAACAAATCGGGTCTTTGACGGGTCGGCTCGGTCGGCCATATTGGTCCGACCGAAATACCCACCCGTCACCGAGAAGCACTTTTCGAGTATTCAAATTTCTCCGAAAATAAAAACGTCTCGACGGTTCGAAACGCCGTCGACACTCGTCTGGGAATTCTTCCAAAATCTATGAGTTGTCGGGGACCATAGCCATTTTGTCTTTTGTTCAAAGTGACCTCGAATCATGGAAAAACGGTAGCTTTGATTCACATCGAATGCAGAGTACACATCGAATGCTTAGGATACATCGAATGGGAAACCCCGTGTATTGGATAAGGACCGAATGTTAGGACGCTTTCACATTAGCTTTTAATTTCGGAAGCTTCGCTTCTTAGGGAAAGGACTTTGATTTTAGTTTCCATCCTCCAATGTCTGGCATCCTTATACACGCACAGTGGTTGGTCCCCCATCCATAAATCCCGATCCACAACCAAGAACACACCTAGAGGCACGTACACGAAGTCGACACACATCGAAACAGAGACGCGCACTCTCCTGGAAAGGGAAAAGAAATGCAAGTGACAAAGAGCGAGAATAAAAAGACCTAAAACACAGCAGGTAGTAGCACACTTAAGTGTGGCCTCCATTGCACTAACAAATGCTAACAATTGTCAGAATCAGGGAAAGGGGTGCTCCACCCCCACCCCCACCCGCCTCGTCGGCATCCAACGTGCATTTAAGAAAAAGGTAAAAAAACGCACGGCAATCAGCCGGAAGATAAAAAAAGATAAGCAAGTAAACCAGAGAGCAACGGAGCGAGGTCCTTTGAACGTTGTATCATTCTTTTATACCTCTGGAATATTTAACATGTATATTAATTGCGCTACGTCGATATCAGGAGTGTTAATTGCACTCGGTTGCTCTCGCGGGTTTCTTGGAGACATAAAGGATCATGCTACCACGTAGAGAAGACAGTATTTGCTCTGCTTAGACCCTTTTAGTTTGTATCGCACTGCTTGCTTCATACGCACTTTGTCCATCTTTGTCTGTACGTCCATCTACTGAGTTCCGTATTCCGCGCCTAACCCGATATTGTCGCTCTCACCACGTCGTGGAGTGTGCACCACTCTGTGATTCACAGTTAGGCCGTGCATCGTGAGACACACAAGAAGGCTTCCCTATAGTGTAAATACACTAGTAGCTCCCTCCCTCGGAGGCGTCGGTGTACTAAACGCTTAAAATCGGTAAATTTGCATTTAAGAGAGAATCACGTACTGAAATAACTATTTATTAGAACACTAAGAAACATCCTACGCTTCCGGGAGAGAGGACTTGCAAAATCTTTTTGCACTAATCCGTGTACATATACATATCTCCCTACCTAGGTTAAGTCTCGTTTATTATACACTGTTGTCTCGTATGGTCCTGTTAAATAAATAATATTGAAAGTAACGCGACCAGAACCTGAGTACTCCACAACCTCGACGTAGAAGTCGAATTCTGCACCATTGGCTTGAAAACGGATGGACTCATAGAAATGCCGATATTGTTTAATAATGAGACAATTAACGTATCTTCGTCGAATGCATTTTCTACAATCGGTAAGACCAATTAGCGGCATTGTTACTAAATGGGTCTGTCTTGTTCGCGGCCAGTTCACTCGATAATGGAATCATAGAGATAGTCACGTGTTTGGTCTTCCCCTTATTATTAATATCATAACCCGACCTCCCCCGAGTGGACAAAAATGGTGAAACATCTGGATTTGAAATTAGATAAGACTACATGGCCATCCATGTTCCGAAGAAAAGAAAAACCAATGTCTCACCGTTATGTTGTAATATAAAACTCAAGAAGATGCAAATTGTTCGTCTACGTTAACCCCGTGTCCTTAGTCTCTACATTTCATCCCAAACCCCTGTCCTTCGGACCTAGAGTCTCTCTAGTAAATGTACGTCCACGTTTCTGCACTTTAATCTGACACTATTATCCGATTCGATATATTATTATTCACACAAATCATATCACATATTCGCAACACCCCCTCCTAAAACGTTTGCAGAAACATGGCAGTCAAAGGTCGACTTTGATTCGGCAAAAAATTACTAGAGGCACTCGAAGTAAGTCACGTCCATAGCGGCGCCTGGTGATATACCATGAAACTAATCTACCATTGTCCGCAGGGGTACCAATCCACTGGCGCCAGACGCGGTGGACTTGACGCAGCTGACTTCTGTCGGCGAGTGGCTGGCATCGATCAAGATGTCGCGTTACGCTGAGAGTTTCGAGAGGGCGGGAGTGACGTCGCTGGAAATGGCAGCACGAGTCACGGTGCAAGAATTAACGGCCTTGGGAATAACCCTTGTGGGTCACCAGAAGAAAATCATGAACAGCGTGACGGCGCTGCGGGCGCAGATGTCAGCCACCTCGCAAGGCTTCCTCGTTTAGCTCCTCGCGTTTGCGTTCTCGAAGGACGAGCGAATCAAGGACAATTTAATTACGTAGAAGCTCCTGGGAACTGAACGCGATAGACGGGACGGGCAGTCCTCGATGAAGGACCCCCAGCGAGGGTGGCGGACGCCAACCAATGGCGGCACTCGGAGCCGCCGCGTTCTCGCGAAGGATCGGCCAGTCGGCGCCACGAATGGCCAGGGAAACTCGAGGCCGAGACTCGCACCTGGACGAGTCACCTGGGACCTTCCAATCGAGGCGATTCGCTTAAGTAGTTGCACATAAATGTCCCTACTGTGACATTCCACCGGAAGTAGAGCAAAGAGGAAAGGGGGCGGGAGTCCCCTTCCCGAAACTTTGTTCTCGTTCCGAAACGCGCCACGAGACGGCGCTAGCGTCGCGGAGCTGACAAGATCCAGATCTCACGAGAGCTGAACAGTCCGCAGACGAATATAGGCTCGGTGTATCTAGAAACGGAAAGGAACGGAAAGCGACTGGCTCCTTGTCGCGGTCGTTGAGATTTATGAAAGATTAGTCATTGGGCGACGAGGAGTTTAAGTTGCGTCTACACCAATCGGTGACGTCCACTCGGGGCGCCATCTTCCTTAGCGCCGACCAATCAGCGGCTTCGGTTGCGCAGCGGAATCCTAGCCCGATATCACTGCCGCTTACTTTATGGGAATTAATCGCGATGCGAAACCACCACGGAACGCGTCAACGAGCACGGCCTAAGAGACACTTCGAATTGTCCATCTTCTTCCGGCCTCGCGTCTTTTAATTCACGAACCGCGAGATACGCGTCACTAGAAACGACACTCGACGGTCCAAAAAGATGCGCTTTGCTCAACGAACACCGCTTTTACCGACCGAATAATAATTAACGGACAAGCAATTAGAGAGAACGACGAACTCAATTTGGAAAACTCGTCATTCGGAAATCGCGCGGCGGCACTTGTACATAGAGTCTATGCGTAACAAGACAGCGAATATTTTATAAGAATTAAAATCATGACGCTTAACCACCGCGCCTAGAGAAATGCAAGGCGGAACAGCGGGACGAAGGATCGCCGGTTTGCTTTCGCTAAATCTGGGGAATTATTTGACGGTGAAAATGCGTGAAGGGATAGGGGAAACGAGTCGAAATTTATTTTGCATTCGATATACGAAAGAGAACTTTAAAAGGGGAAAAAAGGGAGACAGAGACACGAGATTCTTGCCTTTTTCTGTTACCTATATAAAGTATATATATTATATACACGGTCTATATAGGTACCTGTCGGTTAATCGAAAAAGAAACAAATTTTAAACGTGCCAATGGGAGGGATGGGGAGAAAGAAAGCGAGAGAGAGGAAATGTGTGCGTGATTAGTGTGACTGTGGAAATAAGAGCGAGGAAGAGAGGTTATATCGACATGCAGACCCACGATGCGCTTCGTACTATGTACATGCTCTGGCCGATCGTCAGCATTAAAAAAATCTTTATATACATATATATATATATATATATATATATATATATTATACATATGAGGGGCAATTTCAGTTTCGAACGAGAGGAACGACCTAATGTAGGCAGGAGTCGGGTGTGCAAAAGGGCCGTGTACGAGCTCTCGTCCAGCCAATCAGAAGCGACGAATCGAAACACGGGTAAGCCACCTAATGGCTGCGTACCCGCCAAATTTAAAACGCGTCTCTCCGTCTCATGGAAACATATCAACAGATTTACGTATTCTGATGCGAGCATCGCGAGAGTGTCTTCGGGACGGGCCGAAAAGCAAATTCCGCGATTATCGAAAAGTCCCCTTAATCGATGTTTCCGAAAACGCGTTCCAAAACTGGGAAATTCTACGATGTTCCTAGGTGTACCGTAACATCCTTCAATGGGGTAAACAGAGACGGCCATAACGCGACACGAAGCGAAAAGGTATTTTCAAAAGTCGAAGAAAAGCGTTAAGAAGAAAAAAAATGTACACTACCTTCTGTAAAAGCAGTACAGAAATTGAACAAAGTTCGCTTTCGCAAACGCGCGTTGCGATTCTTTGGGCGGTCCGTAAGACCCACGAAACTCCGTCTAACAGGTAGAAATTGATAGGAATTTGCAAGGAAGATCGAAACTACGGCACAAAATCAAAGTTGATGAGAACGCATGCGTCTTGGTTGTCGGACGTCTCTCTTAGAATGCGATGAGAACCCAGCCCGAGTCATTGTTGGGAATTCCATGTGAAAGCAAAGCTAAGTCTGATTCTACTTTTAAATATAAGGGAGATTCTAAAGGCTTTAATTATCGCGATTACGGAAAAACGCATTCGCCGTTAAAGAGACTTATTTCCTTCTGTAACAACGCCTCGGTCACGCGGGATTCCCCCGGACCGGACCAGAATACGGCCAGATTTTACGCAAATTGATTTAATTACGCGCGGACTCGCTACGGGTAATAAATAGTATTAATGATCGAAACCCCAGGAAAACCTTCCGAACACTAAACTCACCATTGGATTCGCACGCATTATTTAAGGTGGTTTACACAAACGTGTTGGGATATGCCCCGAGTAATCGGACGTGTACGCCATCTTGAGAAATTCGTGCAAGGCAAACGCATGAGAAGTAACTGGACATATTCGGGAATCCCACTCTCGATCGTTGTAAAAGAAAAAAGTCGTTGTAATGTAACGTGGACCGTTGTTGCTGAAGCAATGAAATCGATCGCAATACTTGGAAGCTCTGTAAGGGCGAGAAATAGAAAAGTAACGCGACATCAGCAAACCCAGGGAAACTTGTCCAGAATGGCCAGAGCTACCGAAAGCAGTGGGTTGCGAAATCCGGGAATCCCATTCTTGGCCGTTGCAAAAGACTAGATCCGGCTAAATGCAATAAGAGGACCGGAAATACGAGATAGACGCTGCTCTCGGAACAGCGACGATTTAAGAAGCAATAAACAACATACACGCAAATGCAGATTTTTATATAGAGAATGTTAACGAATTTCAGAAGATATTAATTATCCATAGCGCTATCTTCCTAAATGTTCGTATTAAAGGTTAAAGTGGATGAGACAATGAGGGAGACGATTACATGAAGTCGAAGGGCAATACGTTGCGGCGGAGGACGAAAAAGACATGTTTATAAGGGAGAATATTGAAATTCATTTACGTCTAGGGGCAGAACGCGCGAATGTAGCTCGACATTTTGATTCCTGCTAGAAATTCCTAACGTTTCACTTATCCGATGTTGCGCAACGTCCAAATTGAATTTAAACGCAAAGTTGCACCGGACCGTTGCGATTAATGACGCCGATTCAAAATTATTATTTACATTTAACCCCGATACTTCTTGGGTACAAGAATATTCCATAACTTTTTGAAACTTTGGGAACCCCCGAAAGTGGAACTTAAATACGTTCCGAAATCAAAATGTCGGATTGCAATCAGCCCTACGTGTCATTTGGTTAACTCGTGTCTGCGTGAGCGTTTCCAATTACGTCCTGAAAGAGCGAAACAATCGAATGGGGCTACCCTAAACGAAAGCCAATCAAAAATTCCGAAATCCGAATGTGCGACGTTAAGTGGAGGCGGGTTCTTGCAAAAATCGACGGACAAAAAGCGCACGACGTTATAGGGGATTAAATCGCACGATGCCTCACAGTTTTTACTTAATTCCTTAACAATTAACGTCTCTGTACTACTATTTATTAAAGAAAGAACTTATTTATTGTTTAGAGATCTGACTAAATTAAAAGAACTTCTAATTATCATAGGTTATCTATTTACCGATAGCGCAGCGAGAGAGAGAGCGAGAGAAAGAGAGCGAGAGGAAGGTGGCGAGAAAAGGAAGGAGAAGCGTCGCTTCGTTATTTTGGAGTTTTTCCAAAAAACTCCGTCGTGTAAAAAATGGGGGGATAGGGAGGTCGAAATATGGCGAGCGAGGAAAATTCGTCGAGTCGATAAGCAGCTATATCATTAATTATTTAAGCGTTTATCAGGCGACGTACGTGCGCGTTGTTTTATTTTATACTTTGTACGATCCTCTTTTACAGCGAACTCTTTGCCAAAGTACCTGCTTTGAAGAGAAAGAAAACAAAAAAAGAGATTAGTACGAAATGTTTCACCGAAAATGGACAACAGGTACCGTCCCGCATTTTAAACGAATAAACGTTAGTTAACGCGCGTTCACACTCATTTACACAGATACAAACGTCTATCTGGCCAACTCAAGCCAAGCTGAGTTCTTCATTGGTTGTAAGTGAATCGCCTCCGTGTGTTTTCAATTTACTGTATAAAATCGAAGTAATAAACTGCAAGTGATGTAAGCAGAGAGGAACTGCCGACAAATTTTGGGATGTGTCTAAAACATTTTTCCTATGGTGTTATCAAGACGATGTTGAATGTACATAAGATATAATAAATAACACATATTATACGATGTATAGTAGCCGAGGCATTTTTTACTGCACTCACCGGATCCTTCTTTATTTTTCAGCTTGTTTCATCAGAGATTCTCTGGTTTCATTTACAATTCGTTACCAGAGATGAGTTGGGAGATTGCTCACGGGCAGGATCGTGCGATCGCATCCTGTGCTGCCCTCTGGTTTCGTACGTTAGCTTTCACCGTTTTTTGCCCCCAAGGGCGGAGCAACAAATTTCTGATAGGAGCTCGCACACTGGCGATGGCGGTACCATCTACCAGTCGCCATTGGCGGCTCACGTACTCGGATGGTAATACCATGCAGCAGTTGACGGTAGTGGCTTACCTACGCTTACCGACACTGCTCGCTTTTGATGGTAAGGGAAGAACACTCGTGACAATCCATTTGACTTTATCTACTTATCCACTACTATTAAGTATGTACATTGCTGCCTCGAAGTCGACGTGATGCGCAGCTTTGAGGCACGCGTCGGTGTCGCGTACGGAACTCTCGTGCAGCGAATCTGTGTGAGTGCGATAGCTCCAAGAACTCTACGTCCCAACCAGCCAAGCGCCAAGCTACGGGTCGAGACGTTGAGTATGTGTGCGTTCGGCGCCACACTCGACGAGTATGCGTGAGAGTCGAATACTGCGAAAAATCCTTCCGAGGCTTACCTAACTGCGGATATAAGCCGAGTCATTTCGTTCAAAAACGCTCTAGAAACGCTTGAAAACGCTCGATAACGCTAGTAGGGAAATGTAAAAATCATACGCGAAATGACTCGGCTTATATCCGCAGTTAGGTAAGCCTCGGAAGGATTTTTCGCAGTATTCGACTCTCACGCATACTCGTTGAGTGTGGCGCCGAACGCACACATACTCAACGTCTCGTCCCGTAGCTTGGCGCTTGGCTGGTTGGACGCGCGTAGTGTTCTTGGAGCTATCGCACTCACACAGATTCGCTGCACGAGAGTTCCGTACGCGACACCGACGCGTGCCCCAAAGCTGCGCATCACGTCGACTTCGAGGCAACAATGTACTTAATAGTAGTGGATAAGTAGATAAAGTCAAATGGATTGTCACGAGTGTTCTTCCCTTACCATCGAAAGCGAGCAGTGTCGGTAAGCGTAGGTAAGCCACCACCGTTAACTGCTGCATGGTATTACCATCACGAGTACATGAGCTGCCAATGGCGACTGGGTAGATGGTACCGCCATCGCGAGTGCGCGAGCTCCTATCAGAAATTGATTGCTCCTCCCTTGGGGGCAAAAAACGGTGAAAGCTAACATACGAAACCAGAGGGCAGCACAGGATGCGATCGCACGATCCTACCCGTGAGCAATCTCCCAACTCATCTCTGTCGTTACGCGGTTTGAACGAAGAAAAATATAAATTTTGTAGTTGGTAAAACAGACAGGGAATTGTGGCGACCTCTTATGACGAGCATCCGAACTGCATCGAAATTAGTTTGGTCAATACTGGTCAATAAAGCAGAAAACATGTTGCAGCGGCTCCTTGTAGTAGAAATTTGATGTTCTTTGAAATCCGATTACTGATAAAGCACGTCGAAATACTAGGATTAGGAAAAGTTAAAATAGAAAATCTTTACAACCAATTATAGAACACTCAAAGAGCAGAACCTTCTACAATAATCACTTGGGGATAAATAAAGTAATTGAAAGATAATTAAATTCTTACAACAAAATAGATATAGATATTGAGATTCCAATTTCAAATTTTCGCGCCTTAGAAGCAACGTGTGCGCGAGATCGTTCTGTCGGCGGCCATTGCTTCCTTTTCCGTTCGGCGCTGTCGAAACATTGTGAGTATTTCACATGATTTCAGCAATCCGTTCTTAATTTCTTAATCATTGTAAGAATGTTTAAACCTGTATGCCTTCGATGAGTACTATTGTTTTTTAAGACGACGTAACGGTATATTTCTCTCAAAAAAGATTTAATATTGCAGCAGCAAGATGGTACAGCGCCTAACCTATCGACGACGTCTGTCGTACAACACCAAAAGCAACAGGAGACGAGTGTAAGTTGAAAAATGATAAATATTTATTACTTTTCATGTTATTTCAAATCTACTTTTGTCATTCGTGAAATAACTCGTATGTTGACACTAGAGTAGGATTTTTTTTAGATGTTTAGGTTATGTTTTGAGATTGAAACTTTCACCAAGTCAATAGATAACAGTGTTGTTACTTCTGAATATTGTACATAGCTAATTTCATAACTACGTTTTACACTTGTACAGCAGATACCATTCATCTCATTTTAAACATTTAATTTACTATCTTGATGGTGAATGGATGACATAGATGGTAGTTCTTGACGGTATGATTTATTTAAACAGAGTTCGTACTCCTGGAGGCAAATTAGTGTATCAGTACCTAAAAAAGCCGAAGAAGATCCCCAGGTGTGGACAGTGCAAAGATAAACTCAGAGGTATCCAACCTGCGAGGCCAATGGAACGTTCTCGTATGTGTAGGCGGAAGAAGACAGTCAAGAGAGTGTACGGAGGTGTTCTTTGCCACAAATGCGTTAAAGAGAGGTATGTATATATATGTTGCGTGAAACGCATTTTAGAACATTTTTAAAAAGAATTAAAACAGATTGTTAATAAAATGTGTAAATAAATCTTTCAGGATTGTCCGAGCATTCCTCATTGAAGAACAGAAAATTGTGGTCAAATTAATTAAGACACAGCAAGCATCGGCAAAGACAAAGAAGACCGAAAAATAATTTCTTGAAATACATTAATTGATAAATAAAATATTTAAAAAATTTCAAGCAGGTTTATATTTTTGTTTAGCGTGTTGAGTATACTGGATTTGATTAGTCATATTTCCTGTCTTTTTGGTTTAATATTCATTATTCCTGTAAACATCCTACATTCCTTAACCCGGAACTAGTTGGTTCCGTATTCATGAGTTGATTTACTTTTCTGCATTATTCGTATCTGTAGTGGGAAAAGATCGTAGGGAGAGTATTGTGTTCCTTTTATGGACAACAAGTGTACGGCCTGTTTCCAATTGGATAATGCAGCTGGTGCGCAGAACAAGGTCCTTATTTGTTAAGATGGCATACCGTACGTAGCTCTGTACATATATGTAGTTACTCGTTATATTTAAACCACAATTGTAGTAAACCGTAACAACAGAAATGGGCATTATTATATTTTGTGCCATGTAAGCATGTGAATATTATTTTCTCATCTTAATCAGTTAATGAAACGACTTAATTCTTGATCAAATCATTCAATTTTTTTAATGTTTATTCTCTGCAAAAAATTGGTGTGTAGTTATCAATTGGGATAATTTTAGTTATCCAAGTTCTCGCGTGTACCAGTAGATGGCGGGCCTATAACCTTGACAGAATTACTGTGGAACCTCAAGTATTTCAAACGCATTATTTAATACTATTACAACTCTTGTTGCTTATTACCAACAATACCATTTAGAAGCTAAAATTAAATTTACATATTTTATGTTAATTATTTTATATTCACAGTATTACAATTACTTATAAACCCACCAACAGAAGGCAGCGCGCTGTGAGTATAACAGTTTATTCATAATCGTAATGTTACTACTTGCAAATTGCGGAACAGATATCGTGTGTCGAAATCATGAATGCTGAGGCATGAAGCTGGATCTCGGACGATTAAAAAGATTCGCACACCTTTGCGATTCTGCCGACACTTGCAGGCTCTAATGGACGAGCTAAAACGAGCAACGCAATGGCGATCGGTGAGGCGAAAACCTGTATAACCAAAAAATCGTCTCCACGGAGCCGAGAGTACGGATTTCACGGCTCGGACCACGTCTCGTCGTCTTGTTTTCACATACATATACGCGCTTCTATACGTACACGTACCCTTTTTGCTTTTCTAAATCTCTTTTTCGTTTTTATTCCAGCCGTTTTTTCGCCGGTCCTTTCGCGGCCACAATCGGCGTCTCGATCTCCGTGCACGAGATCCAGAGTAGATCCTCTTCTTCGCCTTTATACCCCGGCCACGTCCGAGGCATTCCCACCCCATAAAAATGCCAAGTTTTGTTGCATCTTTCCCCCGTTCCCGCGTTTTGAATTTCCTTCTTGCTCCCTTTGGTCCGACATTTCTTTTCTTTCCCCGAGATTTTCAAACGCTCTTCGGCATTTGTGTTACCTGTAATGGCTGCGGTTACTTCTGACCGAGCCAAGGAATTCCTTTGCGGTTGTTCCGCTTCGCTTGGATTCGCTTAAAATTAAAATAAGTACAGATAAACGTAAAATACGGAACCGCCATTTTCGTACCCGGCGAATGCGACGCGACCGAGCAATTTATTAAAAAATATTCATCCCAAGGGAAAGCTCTCCGATTTTATTTCCCAGCTTTACCGAACCATCGCGACGGGCTTCGTCAAAGCGAAATAACGATGACGAAGATCGGTGTTCCATCCAGTATTGTTAAATTGAACGCATCCTGCACGCCGTTAAGTACATCCCTCCGGTTAGTCGAGGAACTAACGGCCACCCTTCCTCGGTGGAGCCTCGAAATAAATGAAGAAAAAGCGAGAATAAACCAAGGTAAAGGCGAAAACAAGCCGAAGGGACATAAAGACACGTATTTGGATGTTTTCGCGTGGTTCGTTCCGATTAAATCGGGAGTTCCCGAGTCGGTAGCAATTGTCTGGTGTCGCGTTTAATTGACGGGTATAAAATGTAGTAAGAGCGTGCAATCCCGGGTAATTTGCCGCGCGGCCAGAGCGACCGAGAGAGAGAGAATGATAGCCGGCATGATTCCTATAATTTCGAGAGGCTCGTGTTTGACAAAATAACAAGTGGGTGGGTGTCGGTTTTCACACCCGCGGCCCGGCGGGGCTTCTCCGGGGAATGTAAAAAAGGGCAGAACACGAAACCGGTCCCGATGGATCTTTGTTATACGGGCCCGGCCGAGCCGAGTTGAGACTCTGAATACGACCCCGGCCAGGGCCGTACCCAAGGGGCCCGGAAGAGCCCCAACATTTCCTACGAATTTACTCCGGCCATCCAAAAAAATCCTCGACCAGAATGTTTCCATTAAGTGTGAAGAACAGCCTGAAGAGCCGATCGCCAAAGAGGCACTCGTTTATACCTCATTTTTCCTCCATATACCTATATACCCTTGATTTCATTCTAACACTAGGTATCAACATTTGTTCTAGTACGTGCGAGACCTGAGATTTTCGCTGGAACCATCAACGCCATTTCTACGTGAAAATCCGGAGATATGTATTGAATATTTTGATCAAGACAGTGAGAAAAGAAAAGAGATCGAAGAAATATCAAAATCCTGAGATTGTACATCATGTGGAATTGTGGTTAGTCTCTTAATGTACACGTTTACACATTTTAGAGAGCATCCATATTAATTTTCAAGATCTATTGAATAGATACTATTTTTTGTAATCACATGTTGTACTCATTTCCCCGGGTTTTACTCCGAGTGGTTTCTGATTTTAATATACATTTCTATTACAAAGTGTTGTAATTATTAAGTCACCTTACACGACCATTCTTTTCGAATCGAAACTTTTCGAAATTCAACGGGTACTTCTATCGATGATTTAGCATTATTAACAATATCTTCCCGGTGGCGAAAGCCTCCTCTTGAATATTATTAGAGCCGCCCATTTCGCGCTTACCACTCGGCCGCCCTCGGGGGGCAAAAGGTCGAAGGAGTCGTCGTTTTGCTCTCAAGCCGGGCGACAGGGGGTGACGTAAAAAATCGCAAAGGTTAAGACTGCAGCTGGAAATGTGATATTCCAATTTGTAGGGGACTATTAAGGCGCGGCTAACGAATCGAGTCCTTTCTCGCGAGCGGTGCTTTGACCGTGCGGCACTGGCCCCAATTCACACCTGAGTTTCAGCGATAAAGGCGCTTCTAAAGATACGCTTATCCGGTTGGGTCTTGTGTCGCTTTAGCGGTCGTTGTCACTACAGGGAGTAGTCTCTTACGCAATCGTCGCTAAGATCCATTTGTCTTGTCTCGCGAAACGATGAAGTCCGGACATATTTCGAGGAGCAACTTCCCCGCGACTCGCTCTGGAAGAGTCACCTGTACTTCGCTGGGTATCTTAATAAATTTTTATTTTCTCTATACCATGTTTCAGGAGCACCGATAAGGGTACATCTCCATTGATTCGGTGGACCTCAACGAGGTGTCATGGCCGTCCGTTTAAGATGATCTCATTGGTCAACGTACCGCGACGTCGTGTCACGGCCAAGTGTTAATTCCGTTGTAGTCATCCTTGATTGATTGCCAGAGACCGCTTTTAACGAAGACGTGCAAAAAGGGTAATGCATATATTTTTTACTTAACCGAGAGTGATTCTTGGAACTCACGGTATATCATAATACGTCTTCCTTGAATGGCGCAATATATGGCCCAATTATATTAGGGGCTCGAAACCTTGCGGTATTATGGACGCAAGATCGACCACGAGGATGGTGAATCGACCAACGGCTCCACAACGAGGCTAGGGTCCACTAAATAGACGCAATTACGATCGATTATCCAATAGAGACAACCGACTAATCTCGGCTGGGAAGAGCTCTTTAGGAGCCTTGCGTCGAACCGCCTCTCGATGCGAAGAAAGGGCCCCGGAGAACGAGACTACTCTGCTCTTCCATTCTCCTATATTCAACCCGTGACATCAAATGTAATCAACGGAGGGGCGAGAACATAAATTAAGAAGTTAAGCTCTATTTATTAAAGTGCGTGAATCCATGGATTTATAAAAGCGCGGCTGTCGGTCTTTCCGTTACTCGTAGTTTCTCGACAGTTGCCAAAATCTGACATGAGACGTTCGATGCGTGTACAACATTTACTATTGCGATATATTGCACACCGTGTATGTACACGCTTCTCCCCAGTATGCCTTATTTTAGTCTCCTAGCAAAGGATAGGAGACTGTCAAAAACCGTCAGTCAATTGACAGCTGTTTTTCCCGCCGCTCCGGACGTGTTCTTGCAATATCACTTATCATTTCCGAGAATCTTGGCTATATCTTACAACATATTAAAATATATATATAGCACATACATGTGATGGTGATAGCGAACGTGTTAACTGAGAGATCGCTTTAGGCCGATTGCGCCGACGTTTAAGTTAAAATTCTTAATCAAGGATTACTTAACACGAGACTGGAATTAATCACCCGATTTAAGGTGGTTACCTATCAACGAATTTTAATTTTCTATTGGCCTAACTTTTGATGGTGCCACGTGAAAATTTCACTAATCTATAGTGAGATGACTAATCATGGTTAAGAAATTTCACGCTTATCATGTTCGCTCGGAAACCGGTGAAAACGATTTCCTTCTTTGTGAACTGATTGCCTTTGATTCAATACGATAAACGACAAAGCGATTCGGCATCAAGTGACGTTCGGCCTTGTTGACAGTCTCAGTGATTTCCAACAGTTTCCAGTGATTCCTTTTTGGGATTTCTAGTTGATTTCTACGTGATATAGGGCATTAAAATCCAGGATTTCCTAAGCGAATACCCTTGTTACGGTTAGCGCAACCGATTCAGAGATGCATAAAGCCGAAACGCGCCCTCCACCCTCGGGCCCAGATAGGTTCTTTCCGTTTGGTTGTTGACTGTTTCGGCAATTTCGAACGATTTCCAGTGATTCCTTTTTGGGACTTCCAATTGATTTCCACGTGAAGCAGGACATTAAAATCCAGGATTTCCTGAGCAAATACCCTTGTTACGGTTAGTGCAACCGATTCAGAGATGTATAGAGCCGAAACGCGCCCTCCATCCT